TATTGTGAGAGTTTTTCATGCCAAGCTTCTGGCCTATAAAGTGTCAAAGCTGTATTGAGCATAAATCTAGAAATCTAGAGTTTATAAGAAGACATAAGTTTGTAAGATTGAAGAACCTTGAACTCCATGTCTAGCATATAAAAGGCACTCATCAAAATTTTTTTTCAGTAAATGTTTTAAGGGAATACTTACATTAACAGTGTTATGAAAGTTTTTGGACAGGTAGAAGGAGCATGGCTATTCACCTCTTCTTTCCACTGTCTACATAGTTTTCCTGTTCTGAGTCTTTTCAACTATTCTCATTGTATTTGTAACCATCGGTATGCTGAGAGCTCCCCTGTGTATAACAATCCTCTAACCTCCAAATGTTTATACTCATGTGTCTACTGAATATGTCCACTTGGATGTTCCACCAGTATCTCAAATCAAATATTCCAAAAGGAAGCTTTTTATTTCCTTCCCCAAATATACTCCTTCTCTTGTATTTTCTTAACTCAGTTAATTGCACTATCTAACTGGGGTAGCATTCTATACTTCTCCCAATTATACTCATCATCCAATAAATCCTACTCATTTTTGCCTTCTAAATAGTCTTGAAACTGTACTCTATTTTTCATCTGCATTATCACTACCCTAAGCATTAGCTTATCATCTCTCACATGCATAATTGTAGTAGTATTTCTCTATCTCTAGTTTTGTTCCTCCAAGTCCATTGCATTTTATCTAAATGTCAACTCTGATCCTGTTTTATCTAGCATAAAGATTCCACAATGACATCTCATAATCAACTAGTAAATTCATCATTTTTATATACTTCTCCATCTTCTTTCCCCTTTGACCTCCTCTTATTTTATACTTCTTACAATAAAAATTACTAAACAGTGTTTCCCAGTATATACCATGCTGCTAAACCTCTCTACATGTTTGCACTTGATTTTCTCTCCTATGCCTAACTCATCTTTCCACGGTGCATGTCTACTCAATTTTTCAGATTTGTCTTACATATCATATCTCACTAAAGTGTTCTCTGCCAATCTAGTATGGATTAAGTAGCCCTTCTTGTATTTGTTTCTATAATAAAACTTCTTACACTCTTTGGAAATTATCTGTTTACATTTCATCTTCTCAATCAAGGCTGTGACCTTATCAGTGACATAGTCACCCATGTGCTCCTTATCACAGTGCCCAGCACATGGACTATTCAGTAAATGGTTTTGAATGATGTAAACTAAACCTGCATGGTACAGATATAGGGACCTAAGTGAAGTAACAAAATTTAAAGTCCTATCACTAGATCCTCTACCGCTTGTGCTTGATAACTTTGCTACTTAATTGCAAAACGGGGTCAAGGAGAGAAAAGGTAAATAATAAACTTTTGTAATTTTGTTTTTAAACATAGTAACATTGTCACTTAGAGGAAAAAATAATGGAAATAGCATGAGCTTTAGAATCAGAGAAACCTGATTTTTAACCTTGGGCTCCCTGTTCTTAAACCACATGATGTTGGGCTTACTGACACTGATCCTCAGCGTCGGCCTCATCAGAATGAGAATAATAGCAGCTGCTTTGTACAGTTGTTTTAATAATTTACAATAGTGTACAGCAAACAGCCTGACATGCTCAATATTTTGTCATTATTACTTTTTATTATAACTTTGAATATAACTATAGTAAATTAAACATTTCATTTGAAAAGTGAGTTAATACTTGCAAAACACTTAAAACAGTGCCTCGCAAGTATGAGTGTATGTGTGTTTTAGTGTCTGATATATAAATTTATTATGTAAAAGAAATGAAATTTTAAAATTGAGATTTCATCAACTGTAAATTCTGAAAAGCTTAAACTATTTTTAATTGACAATTCCATACTTCTAAAATAAACTCAACTGGAAAACAAAATGTTCAGTTTTTAAACTCAACAGTTGAGACTGTTAAAGCTATTAGTAACTTTGAACGGCAAATTACTGGTAAATGGGATAATGAGTAAGTGAATGAATGAATAAAAACGTGGTCTATTTAAATATCTGGTGAATATAATTACAGGTACAGACAGGCAAGAAGGGTCCTATCTGAAAGCAATGATGAGTTTTCCATTCTGCATTAATGCCATTTTCAGCTTGCATTGAATATAAAAACTGCTTGAAAGTTCTAAAAAGTCAAGATATTGCTCACATTTTTAAAATGAGTTTTGTTATTATTGTTTGTTTTGAAATTTTCTTTTTTATATGCCAGTGAAAGTTTTTACCAAAAGCAGTTAGGTTTTTTTTGTTTTTTGTCATTTCTATTGTTTTTCTAAACTTTTAGGTTCAGGGGTGTATGTGCAGGTTTGTTTTATAGGTAAGTCGTGTGTCACAGGGGCATAATGTGCAGATTATTTCATCACCCAGGTAAAAAGTATAGTACCTAGTAGGTAGTTTTTTGATCCTCACTCTCCTCCCACCCTCCACCCTCAAGGAGGCCCCAGTGTCTATTTTTCCCTTTGTGTCCATACGTGCTCAATGTTAAGCTCCCATTTATAAATGAAAACATGATGCACTTGGTTTTCTGTTTCTCCATTAGTTTGGTTAGGATAATACCCTCCTGTGCTATCCATGTGTAAAGGACATGATCTCAATCCTTTTATGACTGGATAGTATTCTATGATGTATATGTACCATATTTTCTTTATCCAATTTACCATTGATGGGCATTTAGGTTGATTCCATGACTTTGTTATAGTGAATAGTGCTGCAGTGAATATACACATGGATGTGTCTTTATGGTAGAGAGATTTATATTCCTTTAGGTATTTGCCCAATAATGGGAATTCTGGGTCAAATGGTAGTTCTGTTTTAAGTTCTTTGAGAAACTGCCAAGCTGATTTCCACAGTGGCTGAACTCATTTCCATTCCCACCAGCAGTGTGTAAGCATTCCTTTTCTTCACAGAGGTTAGAGTTTGATAGAATAGGAGGCTTAGGATCCATTCCATATTTCATAAACAGAGGTCACCTGGCAGAGTGTGTGCGGTCATGAGAGAAAGAGAAAGAGAAAGAGAGAGAAGAGCTTATAAGCATGAAGCCTGTAGGTTTCTTAACTCATCTGTGAAATATTTAATGATTAATTCACAATTAGCCTAAGAGAAGATATTCAAAAATATGTTAAGGATCCCTTTGTAAGGAACTGAATGACCACCAATAATTTATTATTCTATCAATATTCTTTTAATCTGAGCTGTAGAGCAGTATTTTGGTTGAACAATCCAATTCACAAATAAGCACAAAATATTTTACATTGAAACATGGAGCATCATTTGGCCATTGGTACTTCTAAGGTATTTTCTTTGGTAAAATTAAGTCTACTCAATCTAGCTTGGTCTGACGATTTACCTCCTTTAACAAAGTCCCTAAGTTCTTTTCCTCTCTTCTTTATGCCTACATGTAAAGTTACTTGTGAACGTATTTCTTCTTTCCTTCCTTCTCCTACTCTTATGTAAGTTCTATCAGGCAGGGCCTGCAGATTACTTATCTTTACATCTGTAGTGCAAAGTCCATTACATAGGATTTAATAAATGCTCAACTAATGTCCACTAAATAGGTAATCCATTAAATTCATTTTGCTTGATGTAATAAGCCATTTTTCTTCAAATACTAGACACTTCAAACATTTTAGAAGGGGAAATGTTAAGGGGAAGGCCTCTGCCCCAGGATCAATAATGATGATGACTTTGTTACATTTTGTTTTATTTTATACTACTTTTGAAACAGCAGGAAAATAAACTAAAAAGAATGTGACTGTACTGAGGTAAATATGTCTTATAATCGTAACTCCCTTTATCATAGCCTATTGGATACCAGGAAGGTGGATGAAGTGGTATCGTACCAGGCTCTAGCTTAGTGAAAAGGTGATAAAACCTTAAGAGCTTTGGGCCCCTGCAAGCTCCACTGGTGGTTATTCTCTACTGATGAGGCTTGTGACTTTCATGAAGTCAGTTAAGTAAATCTAGCTTCCTCATCTGGCAAATGGAAATAGCAGTTCTTTTTTAACAACCTCACAGATTCAAACCAATGAGTAAAAGAGGTTATTTCTGTGAAATCATGTTAGCTCAAAAAACTGTCATTGAGGTACAAGAACTCATCTTGATGCACCATGTAGAAGAGTAATGTTGGGAATCTCATAACTCATTTTAGATGAACTATCTGGTATCTTCAAAGGGCGGTGAACTGCCAGTTATAATACAAAAGCTGTCTGAGCCACACTCTAATAATGGAGGCATCCCAGTACTGACAGTCAAACTTCTGCTTAATCGTTATAGAAACTTTTCATATCCAAAGAACATGTCTTCTCTCCTCTGTTATTACCAGTGTCTAACAACATCCAGAATGGTATCACTCAATGAGGGTTTGTTCAAGATAATAATTAGCTTAAAAACTTGATAATGGAAGGCAACACATTATAATGGCTAAAGTGTGGTCTCTAAACTTAGATTCCCTGTATTCAAAATCCAACCCAACCACTTACTTAATTAACTAATCTTTGATTCATTTACTTAACCTCTATAATCTTAGGCTTCTTCATCAGTAAAATGGAAATAACAAAGCCTCTGGTCCAGGGCTATTGCCAGGATACAATTTAGGTAAAGTTCTAGGATAATGTCTGACACATGGTAAGCACTGAATAGATTCTAATGTATTGATTGATATTCACCTTTTTCTAAGATGCTAGAAATTGCACACCTTTTACCATTCACTATTAAATGTGACACATTCACAGTTTAATAGTCAATGTGAAAGAATGGGTTACATGTGGTTTAACCAAAAAGTAACAACATCATCCCTGATGTTGTCCATATGCCATCACATTCATTTAATAAGTATCAAAGGTTGGTCATTGCATTGAGAAGCAGGAACCCCTGTTTTGACACAGGGTGACCATCTCCACAGTCACGGCCCTTCCTCAGCCTGGCAGTTAAGCACACAATCACGTCTTTCTGTTTGCTCCTGTCCTTGTTCATGCTTACCAGGTACAAAGACAGGAGACTGGCCCAGCACAAGTCGGAAATAGAGTGTTTCACCCCCAAAGGGAGTATGGGGAATGGTGGGAGAGCAACAATGAGCAGGTAAGCAAATGATGAGTGGCCTGAGGTGGTGTGAAATAAATGTATGCAAGCTAGAGGAACAGGTGGCTCCCTGGTCTGGGTCCTCACTCAACTGTGCAACCCATACAGTGTGTCCAACCTGGGCTACTACTGGTTTTCTGTGTGTGTTTGATTTGCAAAACCTATGACGTCCTCATGTGTAGTAATGGGAGCCTCCTGTCCCAGATGCTGCTGTTTCCCAGGGTTGTGCGCTTTGCATGTCTGAAGCCTTAGCTCACAGTCAGTCCTCCTCTGGATTTTAACTTATTGGTCAAACGGTTCTGGAGTTTGCAAAGTGGAAGAGATTGGAGGAAATTCATATTTCAGGGCTATCCAATTACTTAATAAAATAAATGCAAAAGCTTAGAACTGGTTTTAAGGAAAGGACTACAATTGAGGGAAGACTCCAGCCCCTGATCCTGGACAAGCCTAGAAATTAATATGACTTACTTTGAATATAACATCATCTCACAGCCAAGGGCAAATGCCTTTCCAAACTAGTGGACTGTAGAGATAAGTGGCTTTTCTCGAACTGAAATCAGGAAAGCTAATCCTCCTCTAGCTACCATAGCTTTGCATCTCCTTTACTTCCTTGTGTTTGGTGATAAACATTCTCTGTTGCTGTGCTGTGCATGTTCCTTTATACTAGGCACTCCCGATTGAGTTGTACCTAGTAAACCGGAGTATTTGGAACTATAAGCATTAACTAAGCTGTGTTGCATGAAATAAACGTGCTTTATTGCATGGGACTTGGTTTTAAGAAAAGGGCCCTGGGGCCGGCCGCGGTGGCTGACGCCTGTAATCCCAGCACTTTGGGAGGCCGAGGCGGGTGGATCAGCTGAGGTCAGGAGTTCAAGAACAGCCTGGCCAACGTGGTGAAACCCCATCTCTACTAAATACACAAAAATTAGCCAGGCATGGTGGCACATGCTTGTAATTCCAGCTATTCAGGAGACTGAGTCCAGAGGACTGCTTGAACCCGGGAGGCAGAGGTTGCAGTGAGTTGATATCACGCTATTGCACTCCTCCCTGGGCAACAAGAGTGAAAAAACTATGTCTCAAAAAAAAAAAAAAAAGAAAAAAGAAAGAAAGAAAAAAGTAAAAGAAAAAGAAAAAAGAAAAGGGCCCTGGAGACAAAGACAGTCAAGATTGACATTAAACAGTTCCAGAATGTTGAAGGAGCCTTGAGTTGAGGAGTCACTTGCCATGACTTAACTCTTCACTTCTAATTTGTTGTGACATTTCCCAATCCATCTGTGGTGTAGAGGTATGGAAGGAAAACTTTTGCATATCATCCTGGATTAGAGAAAAGGAAAAAATCCAATAAGTAGAGTGTGTGCATATGCGTGTGCATGTGCTGAGAGCAGAGCTTGAGACCTAACTACATAACGAGAAGATAATCTTGTTGAAATTTCACCACAAACATTGTGTTTGCTTCCTCAGTGGTGGGCTCCTTCCTGCTTTCAAAATAATGACTAAATTTTTCCAAGGCCCACCATATTACACAACTGCTGGAGGACTATTCACCTTGCAGTCTATGAAAATGGTGCCCAGAACTGTTCAGCATACAGTCTGAGCAATCATTCATAATAGCCCTGGCCAAGGGCTTGGCCAACTTTGTCTATGACTCTCAGAGACAACGCAATGATAGTGTGTGTACATGTGTAGGCATATATGTGTGCACATTGGTGTATCTGATGGCCATATGCCCACAATCCCTTTATATAGCTATCTTTGGATCTCAGTGCATCTGCAAAATGAATCTCAGAGGATCATTTTGTGGGAGTGACTCAACAGAATGCTATTGGGGTTCCTATTTTCATTCCACTTAGATATAACAAAGTAGCATAATTCCTATCCTTGAAAATTAGGCAGACGGCACCATAGTAAGCCGGACAAGGTGAAAGTGACTTCACCAAATGAGTGCTCAAGGGCTCTTCCTAGAATGCCTTCTAATTTGAGGTCTAAAACTAGAGTTCCCAAACCTGGCAAACTTAGCTGACTATCAAACAGACTGAGGCAAAATATTGGGCAATATAACTTAGGAATCTGTCATGTAACAAGTTTCCTAGGTCATCTCAATGAAGCCAGTGCATGAACTGATACTTTAGAGTAATCCATTCATGTAGGAGATGACATGGAGCTGTTTGTGGCAAGCATTTGGTCTCAATTATGCCATGCAATACTTTTAGCAGTGTTTAGTCAATACTTGAGCTTTAGATATGATCATCCCAGAAATTAGATTTGCTCAAGGCTGTCTTGATTGAGAATGAGGGGAAAGGGACAGAGAGGGTAGTGCACAGAGAGTAGGAGATCCCAGATAAACACACCAGGCTTCCTTGGGTCAGGTCCAGATTTACAAAGGTAGTCACTTGATGAATCTCCAGCAAGAATGGTCTGAGTTTCTCTACAACAGCAAAATATCATTTAATTTTTGTTTCCTCTCTTGTTTGGATATAGCTAAGGTAATTGAAAGGCTTATTACGTTGATATATCCTGGTGGAGCAGAGGGGAATAATGCATGCAACAATAAATACGATTGTGTTAGATCATCCACCTCAGCCACACAGATGAGCAGAGTTAATTGGGAACAAATGATCTTCCCTTCCTAATATCTCTTTCTTCGCATTTCTTTAGCACCATATAAAAACTGACACACACACACACACACACACACAGAGAGAGAGAGAGAGAGAGAGAGAAAGAGAGAGAGAGAGAGAGAGGAAAGACCTGTCATGCTTAAGCTTTCCCTTAGGGAGTAGAAAAGGCCTAGAGACATATGAAAAGAGAGGCCAAAATTCACAAGGTCTTGGTATCTTTTTTTCCAGCTTCACATTTGTTCACATAAATACAGACATACATGCCTGCACACACATAATATTTATCCAGGAGAAATAAGTTTAAAATGAACATTAAGAAAAAAGATGTCAGAGAGGAGATAACTGTGATGGAAACAGTTTCTAAGTAAGGGGTTGCAGTAGTTAATCCAAATTTGCTTACTCAGGAATTGAATGGAAGGGCTGAAGAAAGGTTAACTCTATGTACTTGAGACTTTTATAGGTACTTTTAGTGTCAACTAATAAAGTCTTTCTTTGTAATTCATCCCTACTCCACCCCCTATTGCTTCCAGGAGTCAAAGCCAAGCATCACATTTACTCTGCAAACATCTGGGACTCTTCTGTGGCCATGATTGAATAACTAGTTTCAGGGAGGGGTTAAGGGGAGCTCAAACAACCACAGAAAACCAAGAGTGTCACTCTGCATCTCATTTGCCTGTTTTCTATAATGAAGCTGTAGAATGGACAGTACTCCATGAATTCATGCCTAAGGTGATTATCTAGGAGCCAAGTTGCCTGGTGGGGAAAGAAAGCAGTTCACAATGTTTACAGTTGAAGCAGAGCAAAGCATTATTTTCTGATCTGTAACATTAGCAGGGCCTTAGACAGATGCTCCCTTACTTCTGCCCTCCTCCCTCAACCCTCATGCTGGGAAAGGAATGAGAATATAATATGTAACCATAGCACACTAGCTTCCTGAAATATACTGCTGTTTTCCCTTTATGTGAAGAGGTTATTTTATCTTTATGTCTGAATATAGTATAACTTGTCATCTTTTCATATTTTCACAGTGGACAGTCTAAGTGTGATTCAGAGCAGAATCCTCCTGATTGCAGGAGAAGTGAAAGAGAGTCCTAAACAGGGAGGTGGCTCTAAGAACTGAAATTATCTAAACCCTGTTACCGTGTGAGTTCCTAGCAAGATGGTCCAGCCTCAGGAATGACTGAAACCTCAACACTGAATGTTATCATATTCTGTCTCAGCAGGGGCATGGCATTGGAGTACTTGGAATCTGCTTACTTGCTTTTTTTTTTTTTTTTTTTTTTTTTTAAAGACAGAGTCTGCAGTGTCACCCAGGCTGGTGTGCAATGGTGTAATCTTGGCTCACTGCAACTTCTGCCTCCCAGGTTCAAGTGATTCTCCTGCCTCAGACTCCTGAGTAGCTAGGATTACAGGTGCCCACCACTACACCTGGCTAATTTTTTGTATTTTTAGTAGAGACGGGGTTTCACTATGTTGGCCAGGCTGGTCTCGAACTCCTGACCTTGTGATCCACCCACCTAGGCCTCTCAAAATGCTGGGATTACAGGCATGAGCCACCACTCCCGGCTGGAATCTGCTTTCTGATGTGCTCATGTTGTAGCACATGTAGGACTCGAAAACATTCTGAGCCTCCTACTCTCCCTTTGAGGAAGGGCTCCCTCAGTCAAATGAAATCCACAGATCTCTAGTCCCACTCCAGTGCTGGAAGGAAGGAGGGTGGTGTGGGGTTTTCTTTGAACAAAGAGAGAATTATTATCATTACTCTTTTGTGATATAAGCTACGTGAACTATTAACTTTTAATCGAGTCACTGATTTTTCACCTGTGATATGCAGCATCTAATTTTAGTACATATAAATGTTTAATAAAGCCTTAGAGAATTTGGTAATAGTCATGTCATAATAGTCCTTGTTAAATGAGTAGGACCTCAGATAGCCCCAAATATAATGTCTTGTGTTAGTATTGCCTTTCATTCATTCAACTATTTCTTCCTCCAGGTAAAGCTCATTCATTAAGCACCTATTATGAACCAAACACTCAAAAGACTCTAGAGATAAATGGATGACCAAGATATGACTAATGCCCTTGAAAATCTGCAGTCTATTGAGAAACAGTCAGAAAAACAGATAACTACAATGCAATATAAAACCCCTGTAACACAGGAGAGTTTATGCCTCAGATTAAGTCCCCATTTCTTATCGTACGCTATAGTTTATACCAGTACAAACAGAAGTAATAGAATAACACATAATAACAGATCCAATGTGAGTATTCAGAAAGTATAAGGCATATAGTTATATAATTTAAAATCCATAGATAAGAGAAAGATTCTGCCTTTCCAGTACAGACAATAGAAGCCAGCTGGTTTTTGAGAATAGATTAT